TAAAAGGATTTTTAAGAAAAATATTATTTAAAAGTAATTTTGCAGTATTATGAGGCTGTAAAATGCTGGAACCATCCTGTTTGCTGCTTGGGGGAAGTTTTGTATCTTTCTGGTATAGAAAAGTGAGATGTGGATTTGTTAAATGAAAATAAAAGTGCTTACCTGTCTCCTGTGAAGAAAGATAACCATTTTTAAGTACTTGCAGTAAAGCATCTGGAAACTTGTGAAATCTGTGGCATCAAGCAGGGGCCCCTAGTTGTGTCCTGCCTTGAGCCTGCTCCTTGTCAGGCAGGACAAATAGATTCTGTGCTCTGAGATACTTTGTTGAGAAGCTCAGAACAACTGGTTGTGTCACCAGACAGCATTTTAGGAGAACTGGGAATTTAAACAACTTCCCATGTGATACCTGTAGTATTGGAATTCACGTACTGTTACAGTAGCTCTCTTACCACAGCAGCAATGCTGCAGAAGTCAGCTTGTCCAGGGTTATGCATTGACTTCAGAGCCATATCTAGCGGTTCCTTAGGAGGTATGTTGATTCAAACTCCTCCCTTTCACCACAGAATTATTTCCAGTCTCTTTGCCAAAAAGATGCAAAATGCATCCTAGGATACCAATTATTTTAATAAGCACTCCAGTTGTAGCAGTGCACAGCTAACAAAGAAGCTCTTGTTCTGAAGAGCTTGCAGTCCAAGTTATAAAAGTAGTCTGGCAGAAACAGGGAAGTGGAGAGAAGTGCATGTTTTAAGGAGAGCAAAGCTGAATGCATAAAGTGTATATGATTGTTTTAAATGAAGTGTTGGATTTATTTCTGCAGTCTTCTGTTTCTCTTGTCTTCCTCCAGGAAAGGGAAAGAATGTTTTGTTACTGTATCTCTGCTTTTATTCATCTCTCCAGTTGCTGTTGCCTTTGCACTTGAAGCTAACTTTTCTCCTGTTCTAAACGCTCCACCTTTTTTGCTGCCATGTGCTCCAGTGCACATCCCTTCTGTTACTGAAAAAATAGTGAAGAAGTGAGTGTTATTCCACAGTTCATACCTGGTTTCTATGAACAGGGAGAAAGGGAGGGTGGAGGGGAGCTGATGGGACATCACAGGAGATGGCTTGTGCTTTTACCACCAGTAGCCAGCTGTGTTGCCTTCCTGCCACTGAAGCAGAGGTGCCAGGTCTGTGTGTAGGTCAGCTCCTGAGCTGCTCACATGACTGACCACATCCAGTTATCATATTAAGGTAATCTCTCTGCTAGGAGTTTCTTGTGGTCACCAGTTGGCCTGCATGCAGGACTTTTGATAGTGTGATTACTTTTCTTTCTTGAATTAGTTTACCGTGGCCCAGCTGAGCCAATGTAGCAGCTAGGATGTGATTAAATGATTATTTAATTTTCTTTGATGTGTGCAGGCTTCCTAAGCGAGAAATAGAAACCTTATTCAGAGGTGTCCGCCTTGCTGCTGTGAAGCCTTTTGCAAATTACAGTGTGTTTAAGTGCGGCTTCCATGTAGGGCTGCTTTGCATAGCTCTGCGAGCTACCACACTTCTACAGCCTTGGCAGAATAAGTTGCACTGGAAGAAGCAGAAGCTTCCGTGGATGCAGAAGCTGGGTTATCAGATCACCCAGGAGCCCCAATTTGCATGCCTGGATTGGTCTATCACTGAGTTAGTAAGTTTCCTCTGTGGGAGAACTTGTGGCTTTCTCTGCCTTGACACCTCCAAGGTATGCTTTGTGCCTGCTGAGCTTGTGGACAGTAGGGTCCTGGCCCTTCTACAGAAGGGAACACATTAACATCCACTTGCCTTTATCTGAGCCCAGTCTGTGTTGAGTTTGATGGCACTGCTATATAAATGAATGAGAAAGACCCATACCAACAGTAATCATAGACTACAAATCTGCATTTTAACTATTTTCCCTCAAATCTCTGTTCAATTTGGCTTGCTGTGTTGCTCTTCCTTTCAACTTTTTTTCTCTGCTGGACTTCATTGTGCTTTTTTTCCTGCTTTTTTTTTTTTCCTGCTTTTTTAATGAAACAAGAAAGCACCTATTCAAATGAATGGGTGCCTCTCTTGCTTCATTGTGACAGACAGCACGTTTACCTTCTCAGTCTTTCAAACTGATACGTATGTGAAATGTGTATGTATTTATGCTGTTGGCATTTGGAGATCTTGCATAAAATATTTGAGATGCAATGTGTTAGCTTCTCCTGAAACTGGAAGCTGCCTCCCAGCTACATCCTGTGCCTTCTGCCTGATGCTGGCCAGACAGTGTCTGCAAATGTTCCTACTTCCTGCACTTCTTGGAAGACCACTATTATGAACTCTTGAGGTTGCTTCAAAAGGGACATGTGCATAACCTGGCACTGTGAACACTTGTTTTTCCATTTGATAAAGTTCTCAAATGCTTGCCTTCACTGTGTTCCCCAGATACCTTCTGCAGTAGCAGTCTGAAAAGGAATTGGTTACTATTGCACGGTCTGTGGCAGCAGGGAATTCTATGGAGATGTTGCTGCAAGGAGTAGCACAAAGTCAGCTTTTGTTTGTAGACCATGAAGAAGAATATTGTGTTGCATCCTTCAGCTATAATTTTTCTAGGTACTCCGATTTATTTGGATTCACAGAAATTGAAGGCTTGCTCAGAAGGGACTTTTCCCCTGCATGTCCCCAAGCAGATGAATTCTGTGGGCATCATCTGAGAGGGAGAAGGACAACTGTTGTGCAGGATGCAAGACTCTTCATGATTTATTATGGAAACGTTGAGAAAAGCAGCAGCTTCTTAGAAGGAATGTTATATGGCTGCCTGCAGAGCGGGAGTGTCCTATGAGAGCTGAAGAAACCTTGAAGCAATAAGGCTGGATGGTGCCACTCCTATCTGGTTGTAATATATGTCATGTAGTTTGTAGCCCTCATTTCCTGACCATGAACATCAAATCTGTGAATAGCTGTTTGCTGGCTTTTAGTGAGCTGTGGAAACCTTCTCTTGAGATTGCTGAAATGAGTGATGGAGCGGTTAAAGCTATTGCGTTCTCCTAGGCTGAGCCAGTAGGGCAGGCACAATAGATTTTTCAGATTTTCTCACTCCTTCCTTCACTCGGAAGTAAAATATCCTTTCTTGTCTTTCATGAGAACTAATTATAAATAGAGCTTTTCAGTTCTGTACAGTCATATGTCTGTATGTTTTGTCGCAGTTACAAAGTGTTGGTTCATTACATGCAAACATATTTTGGCTGTATGTAGGCTGTATGTTGTACACAGAAATCTACTCACAGTAACAATGAGAGGGTGTTCCTCTGGGATTAAAAAGTGAACTGCATCCAATCCCATTGAAATAAAAAGTAATACAGATTAACTGTTATATTTGGCAGACGCAATCCATTATATTTCTTTTTACTTATGCAGTAGTCACAAGTGAGTGCTTTGAATTGTGGTTCTGATTACAGTGGAATTTGACATTGTACACTAAAAGTAGAAAATTTTAGAAGTTAAGATAATAAATTATGCATTTCAAATCCTGTTTTGTTTTGTTTTCTTCTGTGGAATAGGTCTTAGAGCATCAAGGGCAGATTTTGTTTTCCTCTTGTTCATATTTTCTTACCTTTTATACATCACGGATAGCATTCAGGATCTTTGGTTGTAGTGATCTCTTGTATCAAACCTTTTCCCTTCCTCCAAATTCAAATAAGTCATGTTCTCTTTACTGTACACTGGACAATCTCTTGTTCACATATTTACTGAATGTCTCAATTTGCCAAGATATTGTTTCTTGTCCTAAAAACAAATTTGGTTAACAGTGCAACTGTATTTGCAGATAAGTAACACTGTGAATGTGAACACAGATTTTTGTGGGATGTTTGTATAGTGTTACAATACAAAAAGTTATCTATTTGGTGTAACAGATTAACTGAGATGCAGGCAGATTTTTCAGAGATGCTGTAAGGATGAATATGACATCTAGCGCGCTAAATGATTTTGATCAAGTTCTGAATATTAGATTCATCTTCTTGCTAAAATATCCAGACAGTCCATGCTGTGGAACTGGTGGTGATATGTGGGTAAAGTTTCCAAGTAGTGCTTTTGTTTTGGTGAGTGCTGTCCCATTGAAGAAGAATTTGTCTTTAATACAGCTGATTTCTAGAAACGAAGAATATAGCCTATTAGTATTGGGGGAGTGGGGTGGAAATCTACCTGAAGTGTTACTGATAGAAAAGTCAGCTGAGTTAGATAATGAAAGTATCTGCTTTACTGCTATAGACGTTCCTCATTTCAGAATTGAAATGGTTTCATTCATTTTATATGGGAAATAAACCTGAGTTTATCCTTTTTATAAGCTGTGTGGATTACTAATTCTTGCTTTTAATCACACTCTCAGGAGGTTGTCCCACTAATAGACTTGGGAGAAAAACTGCAAGGTTGAAAAGTGAATCTTAAAGTAATGGAGAAAAACATTACAAAATTATAATAAAACCTGAAGCCCAACTTAAAGATATTCCTATTCTCCTTCCCCCTCCCATCTTGTGATTTTTTTTAATTTTTTTTTTTTGCTTGTTCTTGATGGTTAAAATTGTGGCAAATGGTTGAGATTTTTTTTTTATTTATCTAATTCAGGAGAACTTACAGCTTTAAATTGAACTGAACTCATAACCGTGTGTCTGGATGAAGCATATGCTGTATGTTAGATTTATGAACTTAAACAATGTTTTAATGCATGTCTGAAGGTTGCTTTTACTTTAATTGCATTAGGGATCTTGTGAATGTAAGTTGTCTTCCATGGATCCCATTCTGGGGCTGAATCATAATTACAGAATAAACTTTTTGTGCCCTAATTAATTAATATTAACTTCCTTGTTGATAAATAGATTGTATGCATGATGGATTCTGATAAATTAATGGGATTAATGATGCTAGCTCTCTGTCAGTTTTCTTAGAAAATAGGTAATTACCTCATTCACTCTTATCACTGACTAATACAATGACTATAAACAATAAAATAATGCTTCATTTTTTATTTTTTAGGTAATAATCTATGGGGATTTGCCAAAAAATAAAGAAAATATAATATATTTATCAAATCATCAGTGTACAGGTTTGTATTTTTTCATAACGCTTTTATAAATCTGCTCATCTGTTTGCTGTGTCTCTTTCCAGCCTTGCTTTAATGAGCTTTCCATCAGAACTTCTAGCACATAAGCCTGTAATTATATTTCTTTGTCCAAAATGTGCTTTTTCTTTCATCAGTGGCAGGTACAAGCTAGTTTAACTAAACATTCTTGGCTTTTGTCTTTGCAGTTGACTGGATTATTGCGGACATGTTGGCAATTAGGCAGAATGCACTTGGGCATGTCCGATATGTTTTGAAAGATGGATTAAAGTGGCTTCCGTTGTACGGGTGGTATTTTTCACAGGTAAGCCCATTCACTTCTTCCTTGCTCAGTGTGGGTCAAATATGTATGATGTGTTTATTTTGTGTTGGGAAGATGGAGTTCTGAGCTAACGTTATTTGAATGTGAAAATAGCTCATTTCACTCTGTGTGATTAGATGCGCAGCTGAGTTGAGAGAGTTGTTAAAGAATGAGTTTACTTATAAATAGTTGCTGTGGGCAGCGTTAGTAGCTACAGATATTGCTGTAGAATCTGTTAGTAGCTGTTTCAAAATATTCTAATACTTTGTTCTTTGTTCTTTTTACTATGCTGTTCACTTAGCAGTAAGTGAAAACAGACTTTCTTGGGGTTTTTTTTTTGGTTGGTTGGTTGGTTGTTTTGTTGTTATGCCACAAACTGGGATTTTTAGTGAGCTATTTGTTTTTCAATTGTTTGGTTTTAATACAGTGTAAAAGGGGATCTTAATATAGCTAATGTTGGTGACTGAAAAACCGTTTTGTAGCTGAGAATTTGCTGTATCAAGTAATGTTGTTGTACATCTGTTGTAGTTTTTGTGGAAATAAATAGAAGGCCTTACTTTCAGAGTGACCAACTTATTAGTTTGTAAAGAAAAATGTGAAGAATAGGCAACTTACCCCTCCCTGTTACTGAGGAATGTATTGTTGGTAGTGTTTGACATTTTTAGTCTAAATTCAAAATAGAACAATTTTCCCTTGTAAACTGTATATCAAATATGAAATGCCCAATGTTGGTGTTGTATGCTAGAACAGAGCCAAGCTTGTGCAAATTGGAAGCTATGGTCCCTTTGTTTTTGGCTGTGTGTTCCTGTCTGTCTCAGCACCTTCACTCTTGCATCCATAAGTTGAGCATACAACCACTAGTGGGAAGAGGAAAGGAGGCAGAACAGCCCTTTGTTGGCATCAACTACAGCTGTTATTGATTGACTCATATTTTGCCTCCAATAAACCAGTGCAATTTGGATTGGGTTTAAAGGCTGTTGGAGAGGGGAGGCTCAGATCCATGAACTGCTTAATTTAGTGTGTGTGAAGTAGAAAGTGCCTTAAACAGTTCCTTTCCCAGTAATCAGATGTTGCTTTCATTTGGTGTAGGTGCCTACAGAGGTTCATAGACTTTTGGATCATGTCACCGAAAATGCCCATCTCTAGGGAGTGAACTATCTCACTTTTATTTTAGAGCACAGATACCATTGAGGCTCCTGCTTTCTGTTCAGTGTGTAAGCAGTTCAAGTGTTCCCCAAGGTACCTGTAGATGAGGTTCAATCAATGTTGTTTTCAGCCTGAAAATTGAATGTCTTTGTTGTCCTCTGGATGAGTGCCCTAGGTAATGAGTGAGCTGTAAAGCTAGGCTGAAGCATGCGTGCTTGCTATCCTTTCTTCTAAAATGGTACTGTTTAGAAAAAAAATATGCTGCAGAAAAAAAGTAAAACCATTTGTGATTTATTTTTATTGGTACACAGGTTGCTCTCCCAGTCCCCTAAATAAATACAAAACTTCACACCCTGTTGCCACATCCACCACCTCAATGTATTCACATCCACTGTTTGACCTCTATCAACACTCAGCAAGTGTCAGAGAATGTCAGTGGGTGCCATTGTTTCCACATGGAGGAACTCAGTAACACACCTTTGCTTCATACGCACTTCCATGTCAGACACCGTTTTGTCAGACTGCCCCTCTGCTGCCATCTGTCACTCGGAAACAAAATGTAATGGAACATTGGTGGGAAGGTTCAGCCTCTGCTGCCATGCCTCCAACATCTGCCTCTGACATCATGGGCCAACAGAATAAGATAGAAGGCATTACTTTCTGAGTAGCCCTCATTCTTGTCCCCACCAAGACTCCAGATCTCTGCATTTTGATTCCACTAAAGAGGCAGTGACCAGTCTGCTACGTGCTGTTTCAGTTTGCCTGTAATCATTACGTTGGTGATGATTTAAGTCTGATTAATTAAACTACAGACAGGATATCTATTCCATCTGCTTTCACTAGGTGTCCAAATTTTTTTTTTTCCAAAATTTTGGAAAATGACTATTGCTTTGTGGAATATCCGGTGTTCAGTTTCCTGTCTGCTATACTGACTGTTAAAAGAAGGTTCCTGTGGAAATTAATCCATACACGAGCTACGCTTTAATTAAAAAATAATAAGTAAACCTGTTCAGCTTCATATTCCTCAAAACATACAACTTCTATGAGACGTAGTGATGGATATACTTTTATCTGTATAGATAGGTAGTTAAAAATATATATAAATGTAATTCATTGGCATAAATGGAAGGCTGCTTACTGACAATGGTGATGCATGTGTTTAGGTTACGGATACGGGATGCAGCAGGACTGCAGCACACGCTAATAGGTATTTTTATTGTTTTTATCACACCAAACAGTGCAAAAACATAAAACACTTCCTGCCCTTCCTGTTGATGTTCTGTCAGTGATGTCACTTACACTCCACTAAAAGTTTCCAGAGCCGCGTAATTACGACATGCTCACAGAATTCATATTCCCTGCCTCAGGTAAACATCCTGTTTGGAAATAAACGTGGTCTGGATGTCCAGGAGAGCGAAATTCAGGCACAAAGGAAGTATATTTGTAAACATAATCCATTGTTGACCTAGAGAGGGGCTTTTAAAGTACAGCGGAAAAAAAAATTAAAAACTTAAAAACAATACTTCCAGAAACGTGTTTTGAAAAGCATTCGTATATTTGATCTCTTACTGAAAAGGAAATGCAATACAAATCGGGGAATTTGAGCTGTATACAGTCGCATAACTGACATTCTTCTTTGAAGGCAGATATCTCATAGCAACAAAAAGAAAGGAACTACTTAATTAACCTGTTATGTTCCAAATTTGATTTATTAGGTAGTGAGATTTCATAAAGCTAACTTTATTATTTTTGGATGGACGTAAAATTTGTTTTGCCCTATCTCTCCTCCAAAATGCAGCCAGCTCCTATTCATCTTATGCCACCTGGTGAAGCTGGGACATAACTTTGATAAATATTTTTGATCTCTGAAAGTTTGCTTGACTCTTTGACAGAGGAAGTAGGTCCTTTCTGTTGTTCAGCATCAGCTCACGTACACTTCTGGTTGTTTCTGTACTTTAGCCAATTATTTAGCTAGTGTGACATGTTGCCTCTTTGGCTTTGTATCTCTGTGTGTAGGGAAAGCAACACTTTTCTAGTTGGGTTATGTGCAGTGAGGGTGACCTTACTGTGGGTTATTTGTCTGTTTGTATGTCCAGTGTCTGTATACTTGCATGTACATGGGAAATACAGGTCTATTTCTGAGCAAGAAAGTAGTCTGAGGTGGAGACACTGGGTTTGTCATTGGCGTGATGTCCCTAGGAAACTGTGCAGCAGTAACTTGGCTTCTGCACATTCACTGATCTTAAAATAAGGAGAAGGGGGTTCAGCTGTTTAGTGATTTGCTAAGTAAGGGAAGACTTTGATGAATGAGAGATGACTGTTGTCAGTGCTAGAGATAACTGAGCTGAGTTCACTCAGAGTGGTGACTTGCAGATTACATGGAACTCTTGTACAGTAGATGCTTCATTTCTCATACCACACTGAGTTTGCCCTTCATCAGAGCAGTTGTCATGCTGTCACTTTCTAAAATAAGAGTTCTGTTTCCCTTTACTACTGTCAGATATTAAAAACAGCCTTACATGTGAAGTGTGGAGATAGCACGTGGCTGTGTTTGCTGCACAGCTGATGGAAGGTTTTTCTCTTCACGCTGTAAATCTGTCCGATACTGGTAAATTGCTCATGTGCTGGGGCTGCTGTTGTGCACCATCCTGCTTAAGCCCAGCCTTGGCAGACTGGGCGTTCTGTTCCCTCCATAGTTCTGATCCCCTGCCAACTAGAGCTACACAACAAAGCATTGCAGCTGACCACTGCACCATGGAGAGAGGCACAGACACTAATACAGATTATTAATGTCGGAGTTAATGCACCGTTGAATTGTTCCTTTTCACTGCAGCTTTTGGAGGGCAATATGTCTCATCAAGTATCATTAGCTGAACAGTTGCACAGCCATCACTCCACACCATGAAAAAGCAAAGACCTTCACATAGCCTTCTCTTCTGGCTGTCTCCTCCTAATCCTCCAGCTTTAGTCCTGCCTATTCTGCACAAATTAGTTGATATCTCAACCCAATACCTTCACACACCACAACACTGTAGTTTCTGCAACATACTGTATCTTCTGAAATATTTGATTGAGGTTCAGCTCTTAGAATTTTTATTGTCACCTTTCAATTAGTGGTATATAAAACCACAAATAAACAGCAATTATCTGACAAATCCTAGTGCCAACAGTCAGGGCAGGCAGAGAAGGGTATGTCTGAGTTAGGGAATGAGGTAGAGAATCCCTTAAGAGGATAGCATTTAAAGATGAAATTGTTATTTGGAAGATCTTTTTTCTTGATTTTTTTTTTTTTTTAATTAATTGTATCAGTTGTTAATTTTGAAGCATGTTTGTTTACTATGTGATGTGGCTAGGCTGTATGTAAAGCAAAGGTATGGAAGAGGGGGATATGATGAAGCAGATTTAATTTCTTTATAATACTTGTGTGTGTTTCTGTGCTTTTGTCATCATCCCTTTTCTAAAGTTTTTGTGATAAACTGTGGAACAAGTTATAAAATGAATCTTTTCCAAGAAATGGTCCAACTTCTTGTAGTGGTTGTAAGTTATAATACTTCAATAGAATATTTTCCCTTATTCTGTTTTTATCTTATTAAAGGTTCAGTTCTCTAGTAAAGTACATGAAGACATTTTCATGAGCCATGATAGTTACTTGAGTGCTAATTTTTTGATGTATAGGTGTAATACATGTAACTCCAATATTTGTATTAGTCACTGCTTAAGAGGAGGCACATAACATTGAATTAGTTAGCTTGCAACTACTTGTGAGTGAATTCTGCTGTGTGATTTCCCACGATCTACAAGTTAAGGTGCTTGTCTGTGGACGATTCCATTGCTGTCTTCCAATCAATTATTTAGCACCTCTAAACAAGACACTTCAAACATCTTACAATATTCTTTGTAGAGCTGATCTTTATATAAACAGATTCTGTGAACTTGCTTGCATGCAAATAGAGTTTCAAGTGCTTTCATCCTAGCAGAAATTGTCTTGTGGGCAATTTATAGTGTGAGTCATAAGGGTGAATGTTGCTGTCATCTTATTCGCTCTTTTATTAAATATTCTACGTTAAACTATTTAAATATTTAATCCTTTTCATTTCTTTCTCTGCTAGCATGGAGGAGTCTATGTAAAAAGAAGTGCCAAATTCAATGAAAAAGAAATGAGAGGGAAGTTGCGGGCCCAGATGAAAGCTGAGACTCCGGTAAGATAATACTTTGCTTTCCCCTCCTCTCATCATTTCATTGACCTTTTTAGTGTCATTGGAGAAATGAGCTCATGCTTCATATCCCCCACCTACAAGAGAACAGTCATGGATTTGGGTTTTTTTCTGTATCTCTACAGTTATTTTTTCTGATTAGAGTCAACTCCCTAGTGAAACTGCTGGAAATCAGACTAGTCCTTTTATGAATGATACGAACTTTTTGATTGTGTCTGTAGAGGGCAGGGAGGATTTAGATAAATATTAGAACACTTATTAACTGCTGATGTAACTTCTTTGGCAACCATATCCAATGTTCCCCATGTTTCAAAAGGTAGCATTTTTCTACTGCATTGTTCCTTGTCAGAAACGGGTATTTGTGTAGACTACTAGTTGTTTATCCTTCTGAAAGTCAAGAAGTATTCTTCCCAAATCTTAATTAGTCATCCCCGTGATCAATCCACTGTTGGTGACTATGACATCTTAGAACTGAGCAATTTTGTCCGCTGCACTTGCAGGAAGAAAAAAGTGATCAAAATTGACAAAAACAGTTTGCCATAATTTTCTATTTGAAGAACGATTGCTAGTGCCAAGTGACTTTTCTCATGACTCCCTTTTTGGTTTGTGGCTCAGTGGTTAGAATCAGTGTGTTTCGTTTCCATTACTTGCTGTGCATTAAAATGTTTCTCGCCTTTTTGGCTAGACTTATGAAAACCAACTCAGGCAAGTCTTGATATAGAACAGTTACATTTTCATTTTATATAGAACAATGTGATTGGGACTTTCCACTCCAAATACTAAACCTCTTAAAGCTGAAGCCTGGGTAAAAGGAACATATTGATTGTTGTGAGCTTTATACTCCTTTTTTTTTGGAAATAATGTGTTTGTGTGTGGATGTGTCTGTGTTGAAAAAGTAAACTGTTTTTACACTTACTGACTGCTTTAAATGAGTAAAGCATCCCTGTTGAAGATAGAATGAGTTTGAGTCCTGTCTTGAACTAAGATTTAGCATGAATGTTGGTTTTTTTCTTGTTTGTTTTTAATTAAGTAAATCTATTTCCCATTTTGAGACGCTAAGTTACGGTGGTTGGACATACATTACCACAGCTGAGTTTTTGGCTGACATGAAATGACATCATTTCTGTAGAATTCCACATGTTCCACGTGCTCCTCTCAAGGGGAGAAAGTCTTGCCAGCGCACCAGCAAACAATGTGCATCTTCCGCAGCACAGTGTAACGCGGACAAATAGACTTTTTGTCTTTCTCTAAGCATCTTCCTGTAAAGATGCTGTAATTCTGTACTGGAGCATTTTGTGTTGATAAGGTCCAAATTCTGGTTTCAATCACATTCATAAAATGCTTTCTTTATTAGATTATACCTTTGTGATATTGTACTCTGTAGCTAATAAATTCTTTGTATTTGTTAGTGTCTTTAAAATGTTTTTGCTAGTGGAAAATAGAAATTTAGGTTAGAAAGTAGCTTAAACATATATATATTTTAGCATTACTGTAAGGATGTATGTAGTACTTGCTATTCATTGCGTCTTCATGAAACACTCCTTAGGAGCGTGTAATTTCTTTTATTAGTATGTTTGTTCTTCCTGTTAGCATGCCTCAGTGTATCATCTGGGACTATGTTAGCTTAGGAATCTCTTCCTGAGAATGCATTTTCTATTCTGGAGCTCATTGGCAGTTGCTTAGCTGGTATGAAGCGTAGGCATATTTAGATCTGTCTATCTAATAATGTCTGTAGAGAGAAGATGGCCGTATTCAATAGCAGTAAATTGTGCCTCCATTACCCAGGAGAGTTCTGAGATGTTGAAAATATTGCATTACATTGTTATTTTCTGTATGTAAGTGGCAAAGATTCTGCTTTCTGTAAAACTTGCAGTGTAATTGGATAAACAAAGACAAACGAAGATCTGTGAAATGTATTTGAAGTCATCCCCCTCAGCAAAGCACTGGCTCAGTTTGCTTTCGTTGGTCTGGATGGAATCTCCGGGCAGGGTGTTTTCCCACAAAGACCCACTAATTTCTTGCTCAGCTTTTAGTTGTGTCTGGTTTTCTGGCTTTGCTCTGCGTTCACTGAAATACAGGAGGTTGTTGTAATTATAACATTTTCGTTATGGTAAGCCTTGATTTGAAGTCTGCATTAAATCACTCTGCTTTATAGAAGTATTTGGATTTTTTATTTTTTAATGCAGTCTTAGGAATGCATGTCTAGAAACTCACCTAATTCTGCATGTCTTTTGGAAACCTGTAAGTAGCATTCAGATTCAGTAAGTGGCTCCAGTGCTATACATTGACTTGAGTAATGCATTAGTTGAAGTGCAAAGGGTGATTGAAACAAAAAGCTTCTCTTTAAAGCTGCTTCCACTGTAGGTTCTGCTTTTCGTGGTGGTTGATATTTACATGTGATTAATAAATAAAGTAAGTCCAGAAGGCTTCTTTTCCTGGAATCTTCTTTCTTTCTACTCATTGATTGTGGTTTGGACTGAAAAACTAGCTTGTCTCAGCTACTGCTTAGTAAATGTGGGACCACTTGATGTGTTTGATTTTTGGTGAAATTTGACTGTCTAGAAGTTCCTTGGAGTTGGAAATAAGGCACAAAAACTGGGTGTGCTTACCAAGCAGCTGTTGCCGTTGTCCTCCTATTATACAGGGTAGCAGTACAGCAGAATAATGTTTAACCGCTATAAAAACATGAACTGTTTTAAATCAGTTTCAGTCAAGCCATATAAAAAGGGACTCTCACACTTTACAAAACTGACATTGTCAAAAGCCTTTTTATGGAGAGGAACGATTGCATACGCTGGGGTAAAAAACAGACCACTGGACTGTCATATGAGGGAAGACTGAACTTTCTATAATCCACTTTATCTGAGAATTTAGATGTAGATGCCATAAATGCTCTTTAACCTGCAATTACTACTGAGAGAAGACATGATAACCTGTGTCCTTAGTACATTATTCATGAATAAACTTTTTGGCTCTGACTTAGTGTGGTGTTCACATCAACTGTAATGCTTTTAAAATGAAGACATTTTAATCAGTAAAACAAGTATGCCCTGAACTCGTCAGCACAAGAACAAATTGCTGCAGGCTTCATGTGAAAATAATGAGTGTACTACTCTACATTTCTGTTAAAATTTATGCACTGTATGCTGCAGTTCAGAGTATGCTTTTGCTCTGCTTAGTGAGCTGCTGTGACCGCTTGGTTGTTGCAGGCTTGCGTGGTGGAGGTTTTTTCCTTTAATGTAGTGCTGGAGAAAATCTTGCCTCTCAGCCACTATGGGAAGAATTATTGCCAATAGAGAGAGATGGAAGGGAATCCGTGTTAAGGGTCGCTTGGTTATTTACAGTTTCTCTCCACATAAAGTTTAAACAAAAGAATCCAAATGATTAATGTTCAGTCTGTCCAGAGACATCTCTGTTCCCATTAAGAAACATAAGACGCGTAGGAATATGGACCCAGCCTCCTGCTCTAGTTAGATTAGCAAACCCTTTTGTTGTTTTACTGCCTCCTTTCACTTGATTTCTTTTAGGCTTTTCTATAATGAAAAGTAAATTAGAGATGGAAAGCAAGCAGAAAATTAAAGCAGCCTCTTGGCCTCTCACGTTCACAGTAGGCTTGGGCTAGCAGTCCAGTGTGGCCAGTCTCATGTTGGGGCAGGGGGCTGCGTGGCACTATTTCCTCATTTAGGACTCCACCTGCCTTCAGCATCTCCTTCTGTCCTGTTGTTCCACCTTGCTTCCCAAAAGCACTGGAGCTTTAGCTTGGATGTACACTAAGCTCTGATGGTAGCCTAAAGCACGGCTCCTCCTGTATATTTTCATAGTAGAGATCTTCAACTGCTAAATTTTCTTATTTCTTCCTTGAAACTATTTTCCATCTCAACTCATCACATAACTAATGTAACTATACACACGTCTCATTATTGGACCTTTCATTGGGAAAGCTCACTCAAAACTGTGGCTTTGTTCACAGGACATAAAATCTGGCTGATGGCTAACAAACGGCAGCGTAACACCTTGTGAGAGAGACTATGGCACAGTTTGAAGGGCACTTTTGTGTTGATGTTGTTTTCAGATAAGTTGTAACAAGATAAAAGCAGTTCTTAGTGCAATGATCTATCCAGCAAGTACTTTATATACTATATATGATAGTATACACACTATACTCAGTCTGCTTGTTTATAAAGAAAATTTACTCTTCTGAACAGCAAGTTTCAGTTTGAAAATGTGACTTGTGTTTCAGTCTGTCATGCCTAGAGGGAAGGAAACCTGCCTTGTGAGGTGCTGCATCTGGTTACCCAGAGGAGGTAGATACCCCATCTCTGAAAGTATTTAAGTCCAGGCTGGATGAGGCCCTGGGCAACTTGATCTAGTACTTGATCTAGTGGCTGGTAACCCTGCCTGTGGCAGTGGGGTTGGAACTTCATTATCCTTGAGGTCCCTTCCACCCCAAGCAATTCTATGGTTCTGTGATTTAGCCCAGTACAGCCAGTATTTAGCTAGTTACTATGTCTTGGTTTTGTCATTCATGTGACAACTGTATAAATCTTTGTCATCTGAAGCAGTGCCAACCAAACAGCAGGAGCCGGAGGACAGATACATTAATTCAGCTGTTATAAGGCTTAATGTAATCATTTTGTCATATACTTCCTATTTTGTAAATCCCTGGCAATTTCTTTACAAATCCTGGATGACTTTGCTTGCTTTCCTTATATTGATTTTTGTATTTCGTTCAAATTATGCCAGATATGCTTTCTCATACCGTATCTTTCTCAGTTATTGATCTGGGTGTTAATGTTTCTCATTTGGTTCATCAGAAGCATATCTTTCAGGCAAGAGTCTAAATCAATTCAGATACGCGTCTAGTTGCCAGGATGCAATAATGAAAATACTAAAATTAAGGAAATGCATGCTTTAATATGATTTTGAAGTTTGTAAAATTCAATTGTTCTCTCATGTCACGCTCCCGGGAACAGCACCATAAATGCAGGATATCTTCAGTCAGTAGCACCACTTTCTTGTTGCCGTATGTTCTTCTGCAGAGTGGCAGCTGCTGTCTGCAGGGACGCCCTTCAAATCCTTGTGCATGGACAAGTTTTCTCTTTAGCACCTCCTCTCCTTGTGTGCTTACAGGGCTGCCTTTGTTCTGTGTTCTGGAGACTTGTGTCTTGCTTCATGCCCCCTTCAGCTGCAGCTACACCAAGTCCTTTTCTGACACTGTTCTGTCTCGAGGACTTCCTCAGCTGCTTCCTCCTGTCTATAAGCACTGCTTTGCCCCCCTCTGTGCCATTGCTAGCAATCTTTAGCAACACTGAGAAAATTAACAGAGTTGCTGTACACGTGAAAGCAGTTGTCATCAGCCATTCATTCCTTTAACTTGTAGAATAAAGGACAAGTTTACAGACTTCACACTGGGAGCTCCTCAGATAACCTGTGCCTCTTCTGGTTTTCTGGCTTGAACCAAAGTCAGTAAAATTCTACTAGCTGAATCCTAATCCACTCTGAAACTTGAATTGATCAGAGATAGTATCCTGACATTTGTCTGTTATACAGAAAGAGTTGTGAAGAGTGCGAGTTCCCTCTGAATAGAGGGATCTATTTAGCTTATGTTAAAATTGATTTGTCAAAGAACTGGGGACTGTGGTAATGCAAAGGTTGGTTTGTCTTTTTCAAAGAAGGTAGCTTTTATGTAGCTAATGGCTCTAAATGAAACATCTTGTAACAAAAAAAAAAAGGCTTTAGCTGCATCTAGTGTTTCTAGGCAATTAAAGTGCTCCTACAATTCAGCAGTTCTTAATCCAAGTTCAGGGGAGCTTATTTAGTTATTAAAATCTTTAGAGATTTGTAATTCTTATAATCTCTGGATATAGTGCTTAAGGTTTTAACTTCTGCTGCCCATGTTGGGAGAAGATAAGATCCAGTGGTGCATGTAGCTTCAGTAGCCTGGGTGCACCAGCAGAGTGTCATGAGCAACACTGTCCGTGAATATAACAGGGCTTCTGTTTGCATTCCTGAGTTTTACCCAGGTAAAGCAGTCCTAATGGCTTGCACGTTAGGCTTATATATGCTGAATTTCAAGCATAAAGCACTTCCTTGTATTGTATGCTTTTAATTCAGAGGTTTCAGATTCTGGTCAGCAAACTTGTTCAGCTGCTTGTGTTTTAAAGGCTTAGAAGAGTAATTAAAAAATAATTTCTTCCCTGCTTTGTATTACGCATCTAGCACCAGGATAAGTAGATTCTGTGCTCCATTGTGTAATCAGATTTGCTGCTTTGAAGGCTGTTAGTGGTGCTATGTGTTTTTAAGAGCTGATCTTGATACCAGGGAAGGTTTTCCTCTCCTGCATACTTCACTTTCACATTATAACCATTATACTACACTTGGGAGCTGAGCAGTCAAGCTGTAATGAGGGAGGAAGTGTCTTCATCTTGACATGCTATTTTAAGGATCCAAATTACATGCTTTGAATATAAGTGTCTTTATGAAAAGAGAAATGCATCTTAGTTTGAATATTATGCCCTTTCCAGCTAATTCTGGAAAGTTCTCATTTGCCAGCTAAATATTTTCAACATGCATGCATACACGTTGACTTGAGGAAGGTGCGAATTTTAACTGATCTGAGAATTCCTGTGTCCATCCCTGTTGTTATGCTGCTGTCACGTTAGGATAAAATGCAAAACTCCATGCCTCTTAAACCCATTTTCATTTGCTGTTTCTTTTTCATTTAGTTAGTGCTGCTTTTTGTATTTGGATTTTTTTTTCCCCTATAATATCTGTATACATCTTGGCTTTCTGCTGATCTTTGAAAATTCTTGGACTTTACCAGTCTCTGCAGTCTGTCAGTTCTCCTTCTCTGCAAACATGCTGCTGTGAGTACAGCCTTTCCTCTAGCTCCATTCAGCTCCATTCAGAAAGTCTTGCAGCTCATCTCTTTACCGTGCTCTGCTGACACTGGTTTTGCCATTTTAATTTTTTTTTTTCCTTTGCTAGATTCTCAGCTACATACTACATTTTCCTCTTTCTTGATCTTGTACTGACCTCTCCAGTCAGCTCATTTCCTAGATTTCTTTCCTTCTCTGCATTTCAGTACATTTCCACCTTCCTCTCTGCAGTAATTCTGGAGAATTCACTTGCTAGGTCCTTTCTTTCTGCATTCATTCTTTTCTTTTACTGTTCTGCCATCATCAAGTGCAAAATACCAACACACTGATATTTTGTGGGCCAGAAGCACATTATAGTCCTGTTTATCTCTTCTGAGGTTTTATTTTACCATGCATCATTTTGTGATGCATTCTCCCACCAAGGTCTTCATGTGCTCTAGTAATCTTTCTTGTACTGTTTCATAAATCCATTATCTCATTTTTTGAGACTCATTTCTGCAAAAATAACAAAGAAACTAAATAGCCTAGGCAGAGTAGACATGATTTTGCTATGCATGTGTTAGTTTATGTTCAGTTCCATCATAGTTACTGTTGGTGGCAGTAGCCTTTTCTTCTGTAGATGAGTATGAAATTTTCACAATTAAGTGTTGTTTTCTTCTACTTTTGTATGCAGGAGATGATGCAGGGCAGGGGAGTGTGTTGGAAAATCACTGTTGTGTTTCAAAAGCAAATTGAAAATTCATCAAATTATGCTAAGCTATCACTTTAAGTTCATAATATATTTGATAACTCCTACGTGAGTGAGATCCATAAAGGTACATATCAGAGCCATCGTAATTTCAATTAATGGTATTCCTAATTATGAATGGCACAAAATTTAGATAGTATAAAGAAAGGTTAGATGCAAGATCTGTATTAAAGCAAAACACTTCTTATTTAGATCCATTGTGATGTGTCAAAGGACAGATGTTATATTTCAAGTTGAATATTACTTTGGTACTTCTGAATATCTCGTCTTAATCCACTTAGAAAAACAGTACTGTTATTGATGTCAGCTGTTCCTGATTTCCTTGCTTTTGTTAATGCATGTTATCTTCCTTCCTAAATCACCTGGATACCTGTGGTGTACATTCTAAGAAAATTATTTTGAAGTCCAAACAATGAGCTAAGAAATTTTTAGGTCAAATATTCTGATTTTTTCTTTCTATAGCTAGGGTAATAGATGGTGTGAACTAAATGCAGTGGGGACTTGTCAAGTGTTGGTAATTTCTATAAAAGGAATCAGCTTGAATTCTTTATAAGAACTTTCTGTTTTGTTTTGCTTTTTCATCCCATAGATGTTTTTAGTGATCTTTCCAGAGGGGACTCGTTACAATCCAGAGATACCAAAAGTCATTGCAGACAGTCAATCATTTGCTGAAAAAGAAGGTAAGCAGAAAGATTTTGATATCGTTCTTTTATTATGGGTTTAACATATGTTATATAAAATGTTACGTAAGATGAAGATGATCTCACCTTAACTGGACTGTTAAGTCTGCCTGCTTGATACTTAAGGGTTAGACTCAAAAAAAAAAAACAACAAAAAAGCCAATGTGTTTCATACCAGAGTAAGATAAATATACTTTGTGTACAGACGTTTCATGCACTTCAGATTATAAAGGAGTGTTCATTCGCAAGGAAGTTCTCTCTAGCTTTTATTTATATGTATTTACGAACACTCCTTTTCCTACTCTTGAAGGACATAGGAATAACCTACGTAGGACCAAGTCACTGATTGGTCTAACTTGACATTATAATTCCATTTACGGTTGTTACTGACATAAAGAATATTTGGCACAGGGAATGTTGCACCTTAAAGGAAAGTCTTCTATTTCTTTCTCTTCAATTACTGTTAACACTACGATTACTTCCTCCAAGAGGGTTTGTTCCACTTTCACCTTCCAATCTTACCCCTCCTTGGTTGAAATTTATCCGCAGTTGCGTCGGTGAGCATTGGCATATTCTCCATAACCACAGATAGAATTATTTCATCTTAGGAATGTTTTGCAAAGGCTCCCAGGCGTTCTCATTTTTCTCACAGCAATGCACAATACACATAAACTTTTAACTCCAGCAGTTCCGTCAACATGTTTCCTGGCTTTGTTTTTTCCTGTTGACGAAAAGTGAAATAATTCATTCAGAAGGTAAACAAAGACTAACAAATAGGTCTGGTAAATTCATTTCTGTGACATGCTGAAATGAATTCAGAAGTCTGTGAATCAGCCTGTTGATATCATCAAGCTATTAAGCATTGTTAGTTCTTGTCCAAAAGGATATATGCTTTTCTTCGCATCCTTGGGAAGAATGGAATTTGTTTGCGCGTTATGTGCAAGAGAGGTGAAGTCATAACATATTTATTCATCACTTCAGCTTCCTGTCGGAAATGAAAGTCAAATGTTTCATTTAGTTGGCGGTTCTTTGAGAGTTCAGAAGGGGTGTTGGATATGAGGTGTTTCTTTCCTCTCCTTTTTCAGAGAAGAGAAAGGGCTCTCATTGTCATTACTTTAATAAACCTCTGAATTACATATCTGCAGTTTGAAAAACAGTAAATATAATAATAATAACATTAACCTGTTTTGTGCTTTCAGAGCACCTGTTTGTTTCTTCTAGTGCTTGTCTCTAGGTTTGGTCTGTTTTTATTTTGTAAGGGTTACTCCTTTAAAAACACTAAATACGTGTACTTACTAAACAGGAAGCACCTTCTAGTTTAGAGTAGAATCCTCTTGATCTGCTTTTCCCTGTTGCTGGATTCTTTTGTTGCTATTGTTCACAAAAATTTAGACTCTACTCAATTTTTTATAAGGAGAGGGTGGGAACTGTCCCTGCAATTCAGTGGGAAGATTGATACTTGAACTAGAGCATCCCTGGCCAGGATGGCCAGCCTGCCTGACGCTAAAAGCTGCATACCAAGATGTCCTTATGGCTGGGAGCCACAAGGCACAGACCACGTATGTCGGGGACCTCCAAGCTCCAAGGGAACTCTGAGTGACCACCAGCAGGAGACGACAGCTACTCCCCAGAGCCCTGCCATGCAGCACTGCCAGCCATGGCTTGCACCTTCTGCTTGGCAGTCCCTTTGCCACCAAAGTTCTAGCTGCTGGCTGCAAGCAGGACTCCAGCACAAGAGCTGCAGCTGAACACCTCCCCAGTCATCTACTTTACTATGGTTTTTAGAAAGTCACAGTGTCCAGTAGCTATTCCAGTCAGAGAATGAGGGCATCCTTTAACTTAAATTTTGCCCTTCGATCATTATGGAGAAATAAAATGTCTGATGATTTTACCTGTTCTTTAATGCAGAGCTTGGTGCTGCGGTGTTGGTTTTACTGACATGCAGGGGAATTTTTGTTGTTTTGTAAAATACATCTTGAAATGTGAGTAAGCTTTATAATGGTATTTTTTCCTACACTTTTGCACAGTTTACGTACTGAGGAAATAATGCAAATGTAGTATAGAAAAAAGTTGTTTAATTTGCAAGAATTAAACATTGATTTGGTGTTATTTTCTCTGCCAGATGGAACCAGAGATATTGTACCCAAAGATAACACAGCTATTCCTAGAGCACAAACATAACTCATGTTTATTGTCATGCTGTCTGAAACACTGTTTTTGACTTAACTGTGTGTATGTGTTTTATTAGTTTTTCAGAGAGGAAGTATGAAAAGGTTTTGTGGATTTGATGTTTATTTTTATTTTCCATGGGCTGGATTTTCTTCTAGAGAAGATTTATTGGCTTAAGCAGAATTATTGGGCTGAACTTAATTACCTGGTCTTAACATGACCTATTGAGTTGCATCTCATAGCTTGATATTCTTTTAAAGAAAGCATAAATAATGGACACAGTCTCTGTCTCTTACGGTTGGCCAGAGACCAATTAAAAAAAATGTTTAAAACCCAATCCAGAAACAGATGCAGAGGTTCACATCCCAAAAGCTTTTTTTCAGATTGCTGGCAGCAACTATTATGTCTTTACCATCAATACAAATATTTAAATAAATCTTATCTGTCTATGAATAGGATGAAAGGATGCAAAAGAATTTAAAGGTGATTGAGGCTCCCCCTTGAAAGGTAACTTTTTAAAAATACTGATTGTACTCTATATTGCAGCTTATTCTGTCATTGGACTTGGGTTCTGTACAAAATACCAATTTTTTTCCACTTAAATTGTTTACATTGAGATACAAAAAGTTGCTTACTTCCAAGGATCCTAGTTGTGTGGTGATAAATTGAGAATGTTGTCATCTAAAGGCAATGTGACTACCATCAAAAACTGAAGATTATTTATTCTGCACATTTTACAAGTGCCAAACAATTCCAGCCCAATCAGATTTTTACCCATTGTGGAACAGGCAGCATTTCAAACTAAAAATATATTGATTTGATTGTACTGCAGAAGGAAAAATGTGCTGACTGAATTTTGAAAGCAAAAGTTACCTCTTACAACTAAGTAGTTTGGGATTGGTGTAGAAGCTATTTGTGGAAAAGAACTCCACAGAATTGAAATTGTTCTAGTATTTAACTTTGTGCTTCCGAACTGTAGTACTTGTTGGAGTTTCACAGTCAGGAAACAACATAAGTGATGTTATCAGAATTTCAGGTGAAAACATCTGTCAGGTTTTCACATTTCTGTCAAATAAATGATGCCCCCCACTTCCAAGCCATTAGCATCAATGCCATCTATGTAAGTGGATTTGAACATCAGGAGAGGATAGCAAGGGTCATCACGAGAAGTAAGTGGTCACGTGAGATGCTTCCAGCAATTGCTATCAGAATGCTCTTTTTTTCCCCCCCCCTGTATTTCAGCATGGATGGTTACTCATGTGTTTCCAACAGGATATCTCCTAAGAGCCCTAAGGAAATATTTGCAAGATCTAAGCATGTGAAGGCGAGTTTTGTCTCTTTTCCTGGGCTTTTCCTTCCAGCTTTCACTATTTAAGTATATAGTCAGTAATCTTAAAATTTGCTTTAGTTTTTCCACTTTGATGGAATGATTGCCATCTTCAAAATCCGGTGTGGTCATTCTGTTGATATAAAGCCTCTGATCAACTGTTCTAGGCATCTTAAAAATGCTTTTGTTCTTCCATGCTAGTCAATTGGCTTGAGTTTTTGAGTCTAGGAAATTATAGTGTGTAGATAGCAGTCTTATTTTCATAGGGATGTAACTCAAATATTGTAATGTTAGAAGTGGTATTTTTTATTGTATGTATTTGTTTTGAACTGTGAATTTTTTGACGCATATTACTGATACTGGACTGTAGAACAGACTTTCAGTAGAACCCACTAAATACTGGACTTCTTTTGTTTTGTACCAATTTCTGGCATAAAGTATGTTTCATTTGTATGTTTCCACAATATATGTGTATGGATTTTTAATAATTTTCTGTGAGTTAGACCTCTGTAATGTTCCGAACAACCCCAAATTTCCTAGGTTTAGTAGAATATGAATTTTATCCAAATGCCAAGAAATGACATTTTTAAGATATGAAAACAAATGCGAATAACCCAAAGTCCTCCTGCTCTTAATGTTACTGTTAACTTCTGGCAAGTCAAAGAGAACATGATAAGCTTGATAAACTTAGGTTGGTTCGCTGTGCTGATTGAAGACAAAACAATTTTCTGAGTGAAAAGCATTTATGGAATTTTGTATTAATGTTTGATTTCTAACAGAGGTCATTTGACCAAGGAAACATTTCAGGTATTCATATATTATCTCCCTTGTTTTTGTGTGGAAAAGTTGCAAATGTAAATGTTCTTTTAATGCTAAGTTTATCTTGACCAGTATTGTGCTTTCTCCTAAGATGTTTTTACGTGCAGGATATGCTTATCTCAAAATTGCTTTTACAGGTCATGTGAAAAAGAGGTGTTTCTACCAAGCTAATTAAAAACGTTTCCCTTCTAGATCTTGGCATTGGTTATAGATTGTATTTTAAAGCAATTTGAAGTATTTAATTCCCAGAAATATTACTTGAAATTGTCTTTTAAAACTGTCTTTTGGTGATATTTTTTTCACACGCTGATGTGTAAGCATGCTTGTTGTAAGAGGGTGAATCTTGGAAAGGAGAGTAACGTTTTCTTAAGTGCTGTGTTGTGAGTGCATCTTAAGTAGCATTTGAGAGATATACCCTTAGGATGAAGAAAGGATTTCTGTTATCATTAGTTGTCCTTAGAAAATCAAGTTTAGGAAAGTAAGAAGCTATCTTATATTCTTAACTTATTTCTGGGTTTACCCATTATGGAAAACAGTGTACCAAAGTGTGATGCCTCCTGTGGTTTGGTGTGGGATTGCTGTTCTCTTTCTGAGAGGATTTCTTACTTCTCTTGAACTGTTGTTCATAAGAAAACTCACTTTTTTTCAAGTGCATGCAAGTTTTTAATACTATCAGCTAAGACTTTTGTATACAAGCCTGGAATGCTACCATACAAACAGGTTCCTTAATATTTTCTCTAGTTTTTTTTCAGTGGCAAATGATAAGAAAAATGTTTTATGAAGTTATTAAATGAAATTTAAAATGGCAAAGATCCCCATTTCTACATAGATTACCTGTTGATTTGGTTTTTGTTTTTTTTTTTTTTCCAAAGAGATGGGAAAGAATTGCTTTTCACTTCACGTTAGCAATAACGCAAGTGTTATTCCAAATTGTTGTTCCAAATGGATGTTTCTTAATTACCACAGTCTCATATTTGTCTCAGTGTGTTATTAAATTCACAGAGGCAAAAAACATTTTGTAGTGAAATAGTAGGTGACTTGGCAGACTTTGCATAGAAAAATTACAACTACAGCTTTTAAGAGTCTTACTGTTTAAGAACTTTTTAAGTGCACACAAGCAAATGACTTTATACCTTATATCTGTCATTTTTTAAAAACTCCTCTCACCTGCTGTTCTTTTTAAATATTTTTATTTTCAGTGAGGATTTTTTTTTTTTTATGCCTCTTTCATGTGTCTCAGTGTTCATAGGGACTTAAGGCCGGTTACCGTGCTGTCTACTGGTTAGGTAGCAAACTGACGGAGAATGATGGAATTATGGCTGAAACTTGCTGCTGTGCACCTAACTTTTCACTGTGGGGATGGAAAGATACAGTGTATTATAACTGCTTTTTTATATGAGCACATATCTTTTACAACTTCCTTGGCAGAATTTCATAAAATCTGTTACATGAGAGAGTGTATAGGAAGTTGGAGATACTTACAAGCTGGGAGGGGAAGCTCTGTTTTGAATGTTGAGCACTCCTACCATATGTAATTTTGTATGTCTGTCTAGACATCGGTTTCAGTAACCAAACCTTCAATACTGAGGGTGTTCCAGTAGGTTGGGATGAACATAGTGTTAAGTGTGTTCATAGGACACTAAAGAGCTGCGTATTTAATCAGATATTACTGCTGCAGGAACATGTACACACACACACACACACACACAAAGAGGAAAGAAAGACCTAGTTGGTATTAAACTTAACTCATTGTTTTTTTTCCCTCATTTTCAATTTCTGTTTTAGCATTGATTAACATAGTTTTATAGCAGAAGGAAATACTAGTCAGACGAATTTGACATCCACTTCAGTGAGAGTATAACTTTTGTTGATCAAATGTGCTACTGCTCATGTAATACACAGGTTTTCATCATTTAGAATAATTTTTTTTTTCTTTAATTGGTTTTGTTTCAAAATAAAGTGTGTGCACATGTCAGAAGTAAAATTATGACTAATGCAGGATTCTGAAAATGTTGGTAGGTGGCCTGCCTGCATTGGAAGCTCTGTGAGCTTTTGGCTCAGGTTAAAGGAAAAGCAAGGGAGATCTCTGTAGAAATCACTGGAAGTGGCCTCGGAGATCATCTAATTCCAATCCCCTGTCATGTGTAGGGTTGCCACCCACCAGATCAGGCTGTCCAGGGCCCCATCCAACTCGGCCTTGAACACCTCCAGGGATGGGGCATCATGTTTGAGTGCCTCACCGCCCCCTGAGTAAAGAATTTCTGAGGAACATCTGACCTAAATTTCTCCTTCTTTTAGTTTAAAGTCATTCCACCTTGGCTTATCACTATCAGGCTGTGTAAAAAAGTCCGTCCCCCTCCTGCTCCCTTCAAGCACTGGAAGGTCACAATGAAGTCTCTCTGTTCTCAGTTTTTATATCTAACTTCATCCTGAGAAATGAGATAAACAGTGCCTTTGGTTTTTTTTTGTCACTGTTTCTTATCTGTTACCATGAAAAAATAATAAATTCTGGAGATGCTAATGTTTCCTAACTAAAACTTTTGTTTCTTTCAGAAAGTCTGCAACAAAATTTTGCATCTTGTATAATCTAGTTAACAGTTGCTGGTTGAGGTACCATTAATCAACCTACTTATTCAGATTTTCATATGATTATAATGGTTTCAGAAGCCCTTGATATGGTTCTCTTGTATTCCTGCATCAAGACATCACATTTTTTTGTATTTTATGCTTGTTAATCATTTAAATATCAGCTAACATAAAAGAGCAAAACTGTAGCATTTTAAGGTAGAGTATTACATTATTGGACATCTAGTTTGTTTTCTTTGGCATTTAAAATGAAATCTCATGACCTCAAATACTTTGAGAGTTCTAGCTTAGTATTGCACAACATTAAAAACAATTTAAGCACAATATATTTTGTGAATTAGATGAAGGCAACTTGCCAAGGTAACTGTATTGTGGCTACTTAGGTTTAAATTCTGTTATGTTGATTTTAGCTAAGATCATCAAGTAATTGCAAGATTCTTTAAAAGGATGTGTTGAACTCCTATTGCTGATGCTTGTTTATCATGCACTGGAGCTATATTTAATAACAGACTGTGGCCTTTATTGGTCTTAGATGAATACTCATTTTGAATCTGAACCTTCAAGGGTTTGCAGATAGCACATGGCATAACAGAGACTTGTTCTGCAGTTGGATTTCTCAAGCTGTCACTGACCATTTTCACCACCAAAAATGTGTGTGAATTAATTAAAAAGAAAAAACTTAATTTAAAAAAAAGAAAAAACTGATTAGTCTTAGATACATGTATTATTTTGTCTGGAGGAATTCTTCTTGTAGCCTGATTTCTCCTTTCCTTCCCCACAGTGCTAGTTTGGGTAACAGGAAGATGAAGTAGAGAGGAAAGGAATGACAGTGCTTTTAGGGCAAAATGAGTGTGTTGGAGAATTTGTACCAACAAGTTATTTGGAGTGCGGTGTCCACACTAATACCACTGCTGTCGCAACACTAGAATATTCAGTGCTTCATTTACTGAGTAAACATTTAGAAACATAACATAATTAGCTGTTTGATGTAACAGTTCACAAGCTAAAAAAACATTGCCACCATATTATCCTTCAAAATATTTACCCAATCTGTATAACATTTTGCATAGACAGTTATCGCTGCTGCCGGTAAGGCTTGGAACAATGACTTCAGAAAGAGTGCTAGTAAATAACCTTTTATCTCCCTGTTTGATCAAAGAGGCTCTTAGCAAGTAGTAAGAAATCAAGATAATGATTTATGCTGAAGTTTTCAATTTCTATATATATATAAATCTTAGAGAAGTTTAGATGCTAAGAAGTTTAGATATGTGCATAATTTTAGATCAGAGTATGTTTTACCCAACAGAAGAGGGACAGAAGTTCAGTACAAAATCAGGACATACTATATTATCTTTTGTGTTGATTTTCCAAGTGGAAATCTACCTAAAGCAGTACCACAGTATTTTGGCTTAGAAAAAATCTCCTCTACTAGTGTCAGGAGTGAATACCACTGATTGGGGGTGCAATTTAACAAAATAAATAAATAAAATTTTGAAAAGTAAACTTGTGATAAGGCTAGAAAGCAATAGTCACAATCATATCCTGATATTTCTCTTTGAGAAAAATGCAGATCATACAGCAAAACAGTGTTTTTTTTTTTTTTCATAAAATTCAGGCCTGTTTTGTAGAAGCATTTTCAATTGAGTGTAGAAGAGCTGTGTCCAGATCACAAAAAGATTTGGTGTATTTTTCATTTTGCAATTCATTGTATGTTAAAACTTTGGAAATAGAATAGAGTTTATAATTTCAAGCCCAACGTGCTTGTGTGTTATTCAGTATGCTTTGGGTAGAAGTGGTAAGCTGAAACAAACACTGATATGAAGTGCAGTTGTTAGGACCTGCAGATTACTGTTAAATTTTACCTTCTTATGTCCATGATGTACCAATCTCTACATCTTAGCCTGGATGGTTAAAGGTATCTGCAGATTTCTGTGACTATGGCTTTGTTAATGGCTAAGCCGTTCTAATAGCTTGTTGGCAGGGAAACTGAGAAGATTTCATCTGTGCTGTCAACTCTGTGCTGTTTTCCCTCTCCACTGCTTAGTTTCTGCTGGGACAGTGCCTTGATTTGGCTGGTGGGAGGGTAGTGCCAGAACAATACAGTCAGTAACAGGTGCAAGCCTGCAGAAAACAGTAGTGGAGGTGTGGCTGCAAGGATAAAGTGGAATTGCCCATTTCTCTCAGCAGCAAATCATTGCATTTGGCTAAAGCTGTCTTGAGTCTAACTGCTTTCTGTCAGCCTTCCTCAAAATGAAGACAATCAGCATAGCCATTATCCCTGTGTGTGGGCATGGTGATGATGGGTTGCTGGTTGGATTAGATGATCTTAGAGGTCTTTTCCAACCTTAATGATTCTATGAAAAACAGAGAAAAAGAGAGCCAAAAGCAGAAAATATCAGATATTTAAATACATTTGCTAACACTATTGCTTTAGAGAAATCTTTCAAATTGTTTAAGCATGCGTAGTCTAAAACAACTGCTGTTTAATTACTGTGGGATAGTATTAGGATTCAGTATGTTGATGGAATGGGTTTGTCCATTGGAAGTAAAATGCTGGATAAGCATTGTACGTGCTTAAATTTATCTGTGTGTATGCCTCATCTACTAAATCTGTTTCTGAGGCAGGGTCTCAGGCGGTGATATTCTCTGTGTCTTGTATTTCTCAGTTAATTATTTTTTAACCTATATTGGACAAACATAAGCAGTAAGAAGTGCTTCTTTATCATCCTTAGATACCATCCTTAGAACATGCATACCTTAGAACCATCTCTACTTCTAGAGCAGCAGCTGTAATGAGGATCTTTTGTTGAGCAGCCTGTTTGTCATTAATACCCTGTAATAATTCTGTTCTGTCTTCTACGTAGAATCATAGAATGGCTTGGGTTGGAAGGGACCTGTAGAGCAAATGCAGCGTGAACATGTGCTCGCTCTCAGCTGAGAAATGAGATCAAAAACAATCCTTTTGTGATTTTGAGTGGGGGTGCTGAAGTTTGCTGGCATGATGTTCATTTTGGAAATATCACTCAGATTACCTTCAAACACTTCAATTTTCTTTTCTCCCTAGGTCTTGCTGTATTGAAACATGTGCTAACACCACGTGTGAAGGCAACTCATGTAGCAATCGACACAATGAAAGACTATCTGGATGCAGTGTATGATGTGACTGTGGCATATGAAGGTACTGTGGACCACAAAGGACAAAGGAAACTGGCACCATCTATGACAGGTGAGTTGATGCATGCTAGACATGCTGCAGCCACGTGTATGTTAACATGCAAAGACAACTTCTGGTGCTTTTCAGTGCTCTGGAGATAATCTCCACAGTGCTCCAGCCATCTTACCACTCCTTGATGGGGCATCAGTGACTTGGCTCAATAATGCTTACCCACAGCATTCCTGTCCTCTCCTTCCCTTCACTGCTTGCACATGGAATATTTCTTTGGTCAGATTCTGTGCACCACCAGTTCTCTTTGGAGTTGAAATGAACTTGAGGCCGCAAGCAATGGGTGCCCTTCACCTTCATGTTTCTTCTAACACTGGCATTTGATGTGATTGTAAATTATCTTTCTTCCTGCTTTTTTTTGTATGTAGTAATATATTTTATTTGTAATTTTTCATATTGCTAAACATACCCAGCAACCTTATAAACACTTCAAGCATTTGGTACAAGCAGGCTTTACTTACTACATGTAGTATTTTAACCATTTTTAGCACCTTAAGAAACTAGGGTAAACTAGTCAGACACTGTTGGTTAATAAAAAGTAAGTTCCAAGGTATCTGCCAGGGAAAACTTGGACAGAAAGCTCTGAAATTTGGTGAGTGGTGAGTTGTTTCTTTTCTTAAAAAATTCATTTATCTATACCATCGCTGGAGGGTTGAATGGCATCTTTCATTCCATTTGCAGTTGGTAGGTCTCTCAGATGTATATGAGCATGTCTGTTGTTAGTTGGCTCACAGTAGTACTTTCCAGTCTGTTGCAATTTGGATATTAAGGGCAAAATATGCCACATTAGTTCAGCTTTGCATTTTCTGAGGGGCTTGCAGGTAAATTCTTAGCTAACTCAGCACTCCTCGGGGGGTCCAATGTCAATGAGGGGCTAGTACTTGGTTCCTTCTGCTAAAAATAGTTGCCAGTACAGCCATTTCCATCTCACTTTGTTAATGGGTGCAGCTTCTTGATGGCAATGTAAAGCTCATCCTTCCAGATACTGGTTTTTAGAAGTTCTGGTATTGTCTGTTTTTAAGTTTTCACTACATTTAAAATTTTTCTGAATAGGTAGCAAACATAACTACTAACGCTGTGTATTAACTCTTGTAAATTCTTAGGATAGTTTTGTGGTAAAATATTGAAAGTGGTTTATATGATTTAATGTATTTTTCTTAGGATATAATCTTCTTTTAAACTTAGTTTTGGAGATTTTTATTATTTAGAGTTTGGTGTTTTTTCTTCTTAAATACAGACCCCCTTGAAGATTGACAGCCTCCTTCTTACCCTGTCACTCAAGATTCCATTTAAAACAAATGGAACTATTTCCCCTTCCCTGTAGCATATCTTGTTTCATGGCCAGATTATTAGATTCTCACACTGGACTTTTCACTGCCCGATTGTTAATTAAGCTATTAAAATATCATTACCTAATGATAAAATGGCAAATGTTCAAATTCCTTACAAACCCTCTTCACCTATTGAGCTTTCAAGTTTCTATGAAATATAATTACGTTAACAAAACTAGCAAACTGAATTTCCCTGTTGGCCATTTCTTGTGTGTGGTGTCAAATGGTAATTGGTTTGGGGTGACCACTGCACATCCAGCCCTCTCAGGACTCCAGGGCAGGGAGCCCAGCCTTCATGGCAGGGCTACATACACATCACTCAGGGATGTATCAGACTTAGTGGTGAGGCTGGAATAATTACTGTCTCAGGAAAAATAAAGCGAGTAACACAGAATGAAGTGAAGCCAACCAGTTGTTATCCATTACGGAGTAGATAAAGGCAATATCCATCCAGAACATTCCAAGTTATTGTGGCAGTCACATATATTCCATATAATATAAATTATGTAGATTAAGGAGGCTTTATAAATTACAGAGGGAAACATTCCTTTAGACCCTCCAGACACAACATGGAAGAAAAATAATAATAATAATTTCTGATGTAGAAGGTCAAGATCATCTCACTGTTCCGCAACAGTCCAACTGGTCTGCTCAGTAATATAATACAATAAAAAGATTTGAATTAGTATATTATTATTTGAATTGTGTTATTTTTATAATTTCCTTGTTTAAAAAAGACTTTCTTAGGAAAAAAAGATTTTTTTCACCTTAGAAAACTGAAATACCATAGTGTTTACTTGTTCAACAGGATTAAAACCAAGCACAGTATACTAGCATCTGGAAAAATGACCTTCCCCATCCTTTCTGCGTTCGTGCTTACAGTAGAGCCATGAATGCCAGAAAGGTCTGATAACATGCTGCCTTTTAAGTGCAGGCAAATTATTGTGGTATATCCTTTGAAATGAGTTGAATTTTTTGTGGCTATCTATGCACTTAAATGTTTTATTGGCAATTTCCAGCTGGAAGTCCTGTTTTCAAAGACATAGATTTAATTAGTAGTTGTATACAACGACACTCCTTGTTGTTAGTGCTTCACATCCAGTTGGAGCTAATGGTTGCAATTTGTATTTTGTACTTTTTCTACCATGTATTCATTATTCATTCCTTTTCATTTGAACAAGTTTGGATCTTGTTGTGTTTCCAGTGGAATTTTTCCCCACATGGTAACCTCTCCAAAGAGTAACAGTTTCTCACAGACCTCTTCCCTCTCCCAGTACTGAAGATGGTTTGTCCAGATCTTTAAAGACAGACTGTGATGATTCCTTGCAGGAAAGACCATGCTGCTAGACTGTATTTATTTGTGATCATTAGAATTCTAAGATTCAAATAATCACATGGGCAGTTCAGCACAGCTAAGATGCAGTTCATGTTTAAATTCTTAAGCAACTTAGAAGCAAAAGAGGAAGGAGCTAAATGCTTGTGCTGGATTTGCTGATGTTCTACTATAGCAAAAGCATATATTATCATTCTTCTTAAAAGAACCTAATTTTCCTTCCCCCAAATGAATGTGCTGAGTGTTTGCATCCCACATTATCCTGCATTGCCTGGTGTTAAGGAGTAGCTCTCATGGGACTTGGGAACCGTTGTTGTTCTTGCACCTGAAAGAGCATTATGCACACATTTACATCTTTATTATTTTGCCTGCAGCCTGGAGGTTTTACCATAACCAGATGGTATTTATCTGGCCATTGTAGATGAAAGAGTGTATGAAATAGCAGCATGTGACAATGGTAAACATTGAACAAAAATAGAAAGTACGTGTAGACTCTGTCTTGAAGAAGTCAGAGGAATTCCTGAGAATTATTGACTCTGCACTGTATCAATTCCAGAACAAACACTTTGAAAGCATGTGTGTGTGCACATTTCTGAAAATCAGTCCATACTTTGATCGGTATAATTTGAGGAGGTCAGACTAGCCAAACTTCCCTGGGGGAAATTACACTTTTCCAAATGTCTGTACTTTAATTTGGACCCAGTTAGGCTGCAAAGTACAGAACAATAGCAAAGAAACTGGAGCAGTGGGAAGCAGTCTTTGTCTGGACTTTAGCCCGAATTTGATCATATCTGCTGTCTTTTAATATCCGAAGAATGATAACAAGCACATAGTTATTGATGTGTTGAAAGAATTAAAAGCACAGTATAATGAGCTGATAAACAGTATTAGATATATGACACATTCAAAAATGAGATTAATAATGATGAAGTGACTAATAATCTGAAGAGTTCAGATCTCTGCTAGTTGACCTTACGTGAAAAACATTGAAAATTAAATTGCAGTTACTTTAGAGCAATTGAAAGGATGTCAGTTAGAAGTGAGGCTGGACATCAGCATTGGTGACATCTCTGGAGGTCCCTTCCAGCCCTTACAATTCTGTGGTTCAGTGAGATTTGCAGCAAGTGTGGGATAGCTTTTATGGCTTTTTGACTTTTATGGTAAATCTAATGTCATGAATTTGTTGTGCTGCATCTGTTCAAACAAAATTTAAGCAACTACTGTTCATGTTTCATAATGTAAATTTTCCATTGAAATATTTGGAGCAATTTTGATAATAACGTTGATTGGCAGCAAAGTTCAAATGATATTTCATCTTAAAATCATGCTTGAAAGGAAAACTCTGATTTTATTTAGTGTAAATTATTAAAATATGATACTTTTAAATGCAGTGATTTCACCACAGCATAAGTAATCATTCAGTTTTAAATGGAATGCCTTTTCACTTGTCCTCTGTAGGACTAGATTTGTCACTTTAGGACCACTGCATTTCCTATTAAAAGTAGTTTGAGGAGCACAAAAGCCTGTCTGTTAATTTCTGCATGACTTCTTTTAAGTGGCACTTCAGGCACAGATTTGTACTTGTGTGTCAGTGTTCTGCACATAAAGACTGTCTCGTAAATGGAAAGTATTTTAGTTCTGTGACAATTACACATTGTGCTTCTGTTTGTAAATAACAGCATTCACCAAACAGTGGCATCAGTTCATGGGAATGTGTACAAGCTTTGCCAGACAAAACAAGTCTGCCAGAACGTGGTTGCCAGAAGGAGTGAGGACATCTGACTTTTTACCTATCTCAAAGTAAGAACAGAAAGGGACTTGGAGTTCCTTTAGCCCAGTTTCCTGCTCCCTGCAACAAGGAAGCTCAGATGCCTGAGGGTAGTAAGAATAAAGCAAGCATCAGTGATACTTCCTCTTCCCAAACAACAGTCACTTGTGGATACTGCTTCTGTGTGTTACAAACATGCCCTTATGGGGATAATAACCCATCCTATTTCTCCATGAGCCCAAGATGTATGGACAAGTGCCTGTCTGATCATAAACAAGAGCCTTGTGCATCTCTGTTATCTTGAGGCAGTTCCTACTGAGTGTAGGCATCTGTGGCTTCCCTTTGGGAATCTGTAATCAGAAGACACAATGTTCATCAGCAAACCTTTGCCAAACAAATTGGATTTTCAAAGTATTTACCCTGGAGGCTTATAAAATCACTCTGCTCCATGTTCTTCGTGCATATGGGTAAGGAATGCCCACAAAGCAGTTATGTACAACAGCTTGAGGAACTCCTGATCCTTATGCAGAAGTGTATCTAAACCCTGAGGATAACAACAACAAGTTTAACT